TGGAAGGAAGAAGAAGCACCAAAAATAAAGAATTGGGTAGATAAGATGGAGCAGGCATATAGATTGGAGGAACTTTATCATATGGATGAGGACAAGATGGAGGTTTTCCAGATCAGGTGGAGGAAATGGGAGGAATTCAAAAAGTCAAATTTATATCTTGAATATAGGTAAATGAGCTCAGAAGCCATTGGTGAAAGAAGGAAGTAGTAAAATAGGAATATTTTCGGATCAAGATCTCCAGAATGAGTAGAAAAGCGTAGAGTCTAGGCTGTCAGGGATGGGGGGGAAGGTTGTTGTATATTGGGAGGGGGAAAAGGATATTAAGTGGAAAGGTAATACTTTTAGATATTATGTCAGGTAAAATCTGAATGTTATATTTTGATTGTCATATTAATGTTTGTATGTATAAATTGATAATTTGAAAAACTTATAATAAAATATTTAAATTAAAAACAAAAAAAAGAAGTGTCCCGTGTACATGGGGCCTTAGACTGGGAATGAGAGGAACGACAACGCTGCTCCTCAGTAGGTACAGTACAGTTAGTGAGAGTTGTCACCCTAGGACGAGAAGTATGGTGGGGTCACCTGGTGAAAATTAAAGAAAGAAGCTATAAATACAGAAAATAAATGCAGCCATCTAAGACGTGGTAAGTTGCTTTATAATACATTTTTCTTCTTTATAGATTTATCCCTAGAAAATGCTTCTTCAGTGGACATTAGCCATGCTCAGCATAGAATATTAAAACCTCGGACTTCTTGGAATGGCAGACTCAGATCCTACTACGATTGTTGTTCAAGAAATTATGTTGATGACTTTTTTTTAGAAGCTACAAAATAAAAATGGTTTACGAAGAATGCTATGAATGGATTGTGCTGCACTGCAGTCCTCTGAGAAAGTTAGCAATAAATATTACTTAGCTATTTTGCTTCAACAGCAACTTGGTAAAACTGGAATTATTTTTCAAATGTTGACATCTATGTATGAGGGTTTAGTTGCCATACAATTTCAGGGACACTTGGGAGCAGTGAACCATAGATTCCTTCTTGCTTATAATTTAAAGCAGTAATACATACAAAACATTTTTATATTGCAGCTTACCAAACTTTAGATGAGATGGCTGCATTAGTTTTCTTGCATACGTTCTTTTCCTTTATTTTCACCTGGTGATCTGGGCAGTAACACACTTCCTGTCTGAAGGTGTCATAGCTCCAGATGGAAGTTCAATAAAGACATCCTTGGACAGCAGCATTGTCAATCTGGGGAGAGGGTAGTACTGCACTTGCAGGTTTAGATGACATAAATGACAAATTAAAGCCAAACTCCAGCTAACACTTTTTAACCCCTTGGTGCCGACGTCACACAAATATGCGGACTCACAGAACTGGGCTTTTTTCCATGGGACCACATATTTGCGTACCTGTCTTTGTGTTGGGAGCGCGCCACACAGCGCGCTCCCCAGCACAAAGACCGAGGTGTCACTGAGAGCCCCAAGTCCCATTCTAACGATCAGGACCCGAGACTCCTGATTCCAGGTCACATGATAGCCTCTGATTGGCTATCACAGTGATCAGTCTTTGTGAAGCCTGCCCCCCTTGGTTTTTTCGTCTCTGAATGAAGGAGAGAGATGCATTGTTTCTCTCTCCTTGCATAGAGAAAAAAAAAACATTGTAAAAAAAGATAAAGAAATACTAAAAAACAAAGAAAAAATACCTAGATCAAGGTTTGATATAGTTCAGTGCCAGGGTTAGTGTTTGGGTCAAGGTCAAAGGTCTTTTTTTTTTTAAATTGGTGTCAGTGTGTTTTAGGTAAAAATGTTGTTTCTGGGTTACAGGTACAAACAACAAATAACATACACATATATGGTATCGTTGCGATCGTCAAGAGCTGGAGAATTTATTTTGGGTTCTTTGGTGGTAGTAACAAGAAACACACAGCCAAATTTTAAAAAATGAATTTTTTTTTTTACTATTTTTGGTCAGTTTTCCTTTGATAAAAAAAAAAAAATCAGGAGATATCCATGACCATTTACCACCAAATGAAAGCCCAATTTGTCCTGAATAAAACAAGGTATAATTCACCTGGATGTACAAAGTAGTTGTTTTGAGATGTACGGTTTTACTAACACATGTCAAAGTTGTAACATTTGACTTCGGCTTTAAGATTTGTTTTACCCTTAGGCGTGAAGGGGTTAAGCTGTTACAACAACATTTTTTTCCTTCTGGGATAAAGGTTTTCCATAAATGAATAAAAGTTGACCACTGTAAGCACCTTTGTCATTGTTTGTCTCAACCCTCTAAATGCCACTTCTGCTGCACAGCTTGGTCTGTAAAATTAAGTTGATAAACAACAGCAGGATCAATAGGTAAAAAAGGGGACTCAGAAAAACAAAGAATGCTGTGTTAGGATACTTACACACAGTACCGATGTATGAACTTCAGATTCGTGGCAGAAAATTCCTACATAGAAATGCAAGGATGTGCTGTGTAATAAACCCGCGTTTTTGCGTGTGTGCGTACCTGTGCATAAAAAAATTATTCTAGCTTTTTTTGGATTCTGCTGTACATGCATATTTGCATAAAATACTGTCTAACAATACAGATTTTTGTATTTATTTTTTTTATTGATATAGACGCAGCGCGATAGTTAACACTTCTGTGTGTACAAGCCTATTAAAAACATTTAGCTGCAATGAGATCAGTGAAAAAAAAACATTGAATGCCTAAAAATGTGGTATTTTTGGTACCCATGTTAAAGAGGCCGTAGCCTCCCTAGCGGTCTGATTATGTCAGTATTTCTGTGCTCAAATGTGTACTTTTTTTGCATGGAAATATGTATTTTTTTTTATTGTAGGCTGTAATTTTTAGGAATAACTCACTGAAATCTGTCCGAACAAGAGTCTAGTAAACATTCTGGGTATGTTAAAATTTGAAACACAAAATCAGAAATTATAATTTAATAACTAATAAAAATTAATACATTTAATTCAATAATATAATCAAACCAAAAACACTGAAATTTGAAATATAGCGCCAAGTTCGCACATCACTGAGCAAAGTCGCAAAATCGTTTTCAGTGTCTGATGACGAATTTCCCCACGAATCATCACTCAATTCTGCAGGTAGTTCTGATTTACTATCGTTCTCTAGCTGGTCTAAAACCGCTTTTGACCTAAAGGGACGCTTTTTGGACGCCATGGACATTTCTCAGTTTCCAGGCAGAAAGAACAGTAAAAATGCAGGCAGGGCACAGGACAAAGCACTAGGGACAAAATGTATGTGAAATGGTTTGATACAGTAATGGTGTACTGTGTGATTTTAGTGTATTTAGTGAATGTCACTTTTTCACATTTTTAAATTTCCCGCCAGTTCCGTCCCCATACGTCCTGACGTCACAGGGAACGGAATCTGGAAGAAGGATGCCGGCATCAGCCGGAGGACATTACAGGGGACACTGCAGGAGGGACATTGCGGGAGCAAAGGACAAGGTAAGTGAAGAAGAGATCCCGGAGCAGCGCTGCAGGGTATTCCAGAGTGTAGCTCGGGGTTACCGCTTGTGGTGCTGAAACTTTACCCCGAGCTACACTCGGGAATACCGCCAGGGAGGTTAATGTAGCATCATATATTTCATTTTTTATTTTCCCTTTAGTAAGAAACAATTATACATTGTTTCTTATTCCATTTGGGTAATCTCCACTGGCAGATTTCAACCCTCTGCTAAAATTCCAAAATCCTTCAAACACAAGAAACAAATGTAATGATGTAAAAGTTCCTGCTGATAGTAAAGATATATCGTTTTAATAAAAGCATATTTCCACTTTTGCCATTCACACAGTAATGCAAAACTTTTTTGTAAATATTTCTTATATTTTAGATGCTTCTCAGGAGGAGGTGTCATGGCTGACTGCAGGGTTTTTTGAACAATGTTCCAGAGTAGGTCTGTCAGGAGTCTGTCTTCATTAACATACAATGTAAAAAGTCCAGCCAACTAAACGTTTAACCCATTGTAAGGAAAGAGATTGTTCAAATCTAGTTACAATTGATATTAAAGATCTAAGATCTATCAGCACTGGGCTATTTATGGCAAACCTAGTTCTTCAGCCCCCTCAAAACCAAAGAGGACTACAGTATGTAGAATTATTCCTTGCTAGAGGGTCCAGAATATAGCATCTAAAAAAAGGTAAGTCGCAGTTTTTAAGTATTTTGTGTTAGTTATGCTATGTGAATGGGGACATGTAACAAATAAGGTAGGTGTTATTCCAGTTTGGCTTGAAAAGTGGAAATACACATTAGAAAAAAAAAAGCTACAAAAACTGTAGTTCCTGACTTTTAAAATACAGACACTTACCTGTCCCTCGGTCCAGTGGTGTCCTCACCACCGCTGGTTTCACCAACCGTCTTCTCTCCCTGGTGCCGGCATCTCCATTGTGGGCACCCGGTTGTGACAGCTTGAGGCTACACAGCGGGGTGCTCACTGCTCATGCGAAAGAAGCGCTGCGCTTTGTGAAAGGCCCCGTAGTCTTCTGGGACCTGTCACATGTACCAGAAGACTACGGGGAGGGGACAACTTCCGCTTCCGATCGCCTAGGCCAGGGGTCCTCAAACTTTTTAAACGGGGCCAGTTCACTGTCCCTCAGACCGTTGAAAGGCCGGACTATAGTTTAAAAAAAAAAAACTATGAACAAATGCGGACACAGTACAGGAGATGACCAGAGACTGCGGACATACAACGGCGGCGGGAATACTGGGCCGGCCGCTCCATAAGACATACAGACATTTCCCCCAAGTGTGTCTTATGAAGCGAAATAGTGCCTCATCATTGGTGTCAGTGGGAAGAAAAACGTGCCCCATCATTGGTGTCAGTGGGAAGAAACGTGCCCCATCATTGGTGTCAGTGGGAGGAATAGTGCCCCTTCATTGGTGTCAGTGGGAGGAATAGTGCCCCATTATTGGTGTCAGTGGGAGGAATAGTGCCCCATTATTGGTGTCAGTGGGAGGAATAGTGCCCCATCATTAGTGTCAGTGGGGGGAGGACTAGTGCCCCATTGTTGGTGTCAGTGGGGGGAGGAATAGTACCCCATCGCTGGTGTCAGTGTGGGGGGGGGGGGGATAGTGCCCCGTCAGTGGGGGAAGGGGATAGTGTCCCAACATTGGTGTCAGTGGGGGAATAGTGTCCCCCGTCATTGGGGTCAGGGGATAGTGTCCCAACATTGGTGTCAGTGGGGGGAATAGTGTCCCATCTTTGGTGTCATGGGATGAATAGTACGTCATTGGTGTCAGTGGGGGGGAAAATAGTGCCCATCATTGGTGTCAGTGGGAAGAATAGTGCCCCATCTTTGGTGTCAGTGGGATGAATAGTACGTCATTGGTGTCAGTGGGGGGGAATAGTGCCCTGTCATTGGTGTCAGTGGGGGGGGATAGTGTTCCAACATTGTTGTCAGTGGGAGAATTGTACCCCATCATTGATGTCAGTGGGGGAAGAAATAGTGTTCCATCGTTGGTGTCAGTGGGGGGAGGAATAGTGCCCCATCGTTGGTGTCAGTGGGGGAGGAATAGTGCCCCATCGTTGGTGTCAGTGGGGGGAGGAATAGTGCCCCATCATTGGTGTCAGTGGGAGGAATAATGCCCATCATTAGTATCAGTGACACCAATGATGGGGCACTATTCCTCCCACTGACACCAATGACACTTAACTTGCTGACCCCTGTTCGAACATGGTGCTGCTGCAGCCAGCATACCTGGTTGCAGTAGCCACCATCTGCACGGCACACTTACCTGTCAGCTGTCCTTCTTCACTCCGGCCTCTCCCTCACTCAATGTTTGTGGGGCCACTCGGCTCCGCCTCCTCGCTGGTGATTGGCCGCCTGTGTGCCTTTCCTGAGCTACAGTTCTGGCGCCCAATCACCGGTGAGGAGGCGGAGCCAAGCGGCAGCACGAACATCGAGTGAGGGAGTGGCTGGAGTGAATGAAGGAGCAGCTCTTCCTGGACTGGATCGTCGTGGGACTGGGACACTGAGCCAGTTAAGATACAGCAGCCCCCTGCCTGCCCCTGTACTTAGTGTCCCTTCCTCACGGCAAATACGCCCCTGCCAGTGGGCCAGATAAATGTCCTCGGCGGGCCTCATGTGGCCCGCGGGCCGTAGTTAGAGGACCCCTGGCCTAGGCTATCGCAGCGGAAGTGGTAGCGGGTACCTGTCAAATTCGTTTACCTGCTCCCCAAAGGTGCCAATTTTTAATGGGGAGCAGGGGACAAAGGCTTAAAGCGGAACTTCCCCTTTGGGTGGAGCTCTGCTTTAAGTTTCAATGCTGCACGCTCAAATAACATAATGTATCTGCATAAGGAGATCAGCCAAATTGGAGTCAGTGCAAATATACAGTCAGGTCCATAAATATTGGGACATCGACACAATTCTAACATTTTTGGTTCTACACACCACCACAATGGATTTGAAATGAAACGAACAAGATGTGCTTTAACTGCAGACTGTCAGCTTTAATTTGAGGGTATTTACATCCAAATCAGGTGAACGGTGTAGGAATCACAACAGTTTGCATATGTGCCTCCCACTAGTTAAGGGACCAAAAGTAATGGGACAGAATAATAATCATAAATCAAACTTTCACTTTTTAATACTTGGTTGCAAATCCTTTGCAGTCAATTACAGCCTGAAGTCTGGAACGCATAGACATCACCAGACGCTGGGTTTCATCCCTGATGATGCTGTGCCAGGCCTCTACTGCAACTGTCTTCAGTTCCTGCTTGTTCTTGAGGCATTTTCCCTTCAGTTTTGTCTTCAGCAAGTGAAATGCATGCTCAATCGGATTCAGGTCAGGTGATTGACTTGGCCATTGCATAACATTCCACTTCTTTCCCTTAAAAAAAACTCTTTGGTTGCTTTTGCAGTATGCTTTGGGTCATTGTCCATCTGCACTGAAAAGTGGCGTCCAATGAGTTCTGAAGCATTTGGCTGAATATGAGCAGATAATATTGCCCGAAACACTTAAGAATTCAACCTGCTGCTTTTGTCAGCAGTCACATCATCAATAAATACAAAAGAAACAGTTCCATTGGCAGCCATACATGCCCACGCCATGACACTACCACCACCATGCTTCACTGATGAGGTGGTATGCTTAGGATCATGAGCAGTTCCTTTCCTTCTCCATACTCTTCTCTTCCCATCACTCTGGTACAAGTTGATCTTGGTCTCATCTGTCCATAGGATGTTGTTCCAGAACTGTGAAGGCTTTTTTAGATGTCGTTTGGCAAACTCTAATCTGGCCTTTCCTGTTTTTGAGGCTCACCAATGGTTTCCATCTTGTGGTGAACGCTCTGTATTCACTCTGGTGAAGTCTTCTCTTGATTGTTGACTTTGACACACATACACCTACCTCCTGGAGAGTGTTCTTGATCTGGCCAACTGTTGTGAAGGGTGTTTTCTTCACCAGGGAAAGAATTCTTCGGTCATCCACCACAGTTGTTTTCCGTGGTCTTCTGGTCTTTTGGTGTTGCTGAGCTCACCGGTGCGTTCCTTCTTTTTAAGAATGTTCCAAACAGTTGTTTTGGCCACTCCTAATGTTTTTGCTATCTCTCTGATGGGTTTGATTTGTTTTTTTCAGCCTAATGATGGCTTACTTCACTGATGGTGACAGCTCTTTGGATCTCATCTTGAGAGTTGACAGCAACAGATTCCAAATGCAAATAGCACACTTGAAATGAACTCTGGACCTTTTATCTGCTCATTGTAATTGGGATAATGAGGGAATAACACACACCTTGCCATGGAACAGCTGAGAAGCCAATTGTCCCATTACTTTTGGTCCCTTAACAAGTGGGAGGCACATATGCAAACTGTTGTAATTCCTACACCGTTCACCTGATTTAGATGTAAATACCCTCAAATTAAAGCTGACAGTCTGCAGTTAAAGCACATCTTGTTTGTTTCATTTCAAATCCATAGTGGTGGTGTATAGAGCCAAAAATGTTAGAATTGTGTCGATGTCCAAATATTTATGGACCTGACTGTATATACCACTTATACACTTCTGGTTGTCCATGTTACAGTTTGCCAACATCCTTTCTGATCTGGGGGTGCAGTATAAAAAGTCAGGGGGCATATTGTCAACACACTCTCCTTTTATCCTGTCCAACTAGCTCTCCCTATTTTTTTGCCTCTCCAGCTCTCCCTGTTGGGTCTGGCTGTGTGTGACTCACTGACCTTCTGGCATACAGTCTGACAGAGATGAGGGAAGCAGTATTCCTTTGTTCACATGATGTGTTTCTGAGTCAGGACCTGGAAGTAACGCCTGACAAGGGGTGGACTGACCATTTGGAAACTCGGGCACTGCCCGAGGGCCCGGGGTCAGTAGGGGCCCCCTTGAGATGCCCCTGGTACCTTTTTCATAGACTTTTTTGAGTTTGGGCAAGGACACAGGGGCCCCATGATCCCCTATTGCCCGGGGGCCCCATGAGTTGTCAGTCCGCCCCTGCGCCTGACATTACTTCTGGGTAGTGCAGAGGCAGTACAGCCCTGGCCAAAAGTTTTGAGAATGACACAAATATTAATTTTCACAAAGTCTGCTTCTTCAGTGTTAGATCTTTTTGTCAGATGTTATTATGGTACACTGAAGTATAATCACAAGCATTTCATAAGTGTCCAAGGCTTTTATTGACAATTACATTAAGTTTATGCAAAGTTTATTGCCTTTTTTGATCCTTCCTTTTTAAGACCTCTGCATTTCTCCTTGGCATGCTGTCAATCAACTTCTGAACACATCCTGACTAATGGCAGCCCATTCTTGCATAATCAATGCTTGGAGTTTGTCAGAATTTGTGGAGGGTTTTTTGTTCACCCGCCTCTTGAGGATTGACCACAAGTTCTTAATGGGATTAAGGTCTGGGGAGTTTCCTGGCTATGGACCCAAAATTCCAATGTTTTGCTCCTCAAGCCACTTATTTATCACTTTTGCCTTATGGCAAGGTGCTCCATCATGCTAGAAAAGGCATTGTCGTCACCAAACTGTTCTTGGATGGTTTGGAGAAGTTGCTCTCTGAGGATGTTTTTGTAGCATTCTTTATTCATGGCTGTGTTCTAAGGCAAAATTGTGAGTGAGCCCACTCCCTTGGCTGAGAAGCAAACCCCACACATGAATGGTCTCAGGATGCTTTACTGTTGGCATGACCCAGGACTGATGGTAGCTCTCACCTTTTCTTCTCCGGACAAGGATTGTTCCAGATGCCACAAACAATCAGAAAGGGGATTCATCAGAGAAAATTACTTTACCCCAGTCCTCAGCAGTCCAATCCCTGTACCTTTTACAGAATATCAGTCTGTCCCTGTTCCTTTTCCTGGAGAGAAGTGGCTTCTTTGCTGACCTTCTTGACACCAGGCCATCCTTCAAAGTCAAACAAGCATGTAAGTCATAAACGCCACTGGTGCCGGCTCTAGACAGGAGTGACGTCAGCACAATCTCCTCCCAGCTCCGACGCACGTTTTGTCTCAATAGACATTGTCAAGGGGATCAGGTCCTTGACCCCCTTGACAACGTCTATTGAGATGAAACGGCTGGGCGGAGACTATGCTGACATCACCCAACCTGCCTGGAGCTGGCACCAGCAACGTTTATGACTTACTTGCTCATTTGACTTTGAAGTTTGTAAGTGTTTTTTTATGTATTATAATAAATCATTTGTACGTTGTCACGCTATCTGGAGTATTATCCTTTTAGACCGAGTACACAGCAGATCACAATAAGGGAGGAAGAGAGGAGGAGAGATACTGAAGTCTGTGACACCTCTTTTCCATCTAGGATGTTACAAGCAAGATATGTTCAGCATCATGCTCTGTTAGACCACCTATAATCTGGGGTCTAACTATTCAGTAAGGAGCAGTTTGCTTTTTGTGGTGGTGGTCACGAGAGTCTCTATTTCACTAGACACATAGAGGATTATTGTGGACACGGCTGTTCATCATTATTGGAATTTCGTCATCAAAAGACTTTTTCATTGTTTGGTGATTCATGCATTTTGACGTAATAATATTATTGGTAGGAGCACATTTAAAGTATAAGTCACTCACTATTAGTACAGTGTATTTTTTATCAACAGTGCAACAACAACTGGATATCACTTCTTCAGTATTTGTATTGGTATTTTTGAGTGAAGCTAATATTTCACTGTTTGTTTTGTTTTTTGGTTCACAATTTGTTAGAATTTTTTTTGGTACTCAGCGCAGTTACATCAATTTCACATTATTGTTACTTCTTCACAACAATTGAACCTCTTTCCTTGAAGTTCTTGATGATCCAATAAATAATTGAGCTAGGTGCTAACTTAGTAGCAGCAATATCCTTGCCTGTGAATCCCTTTTTGTGGAAAGCAATGATGACTGAACATGTTACTTGCAGGTAAATTAATATTTGTGTCATTCTCAAAACTTTTGGCCAGGGCTGTACAGGAGTGAACAGGGAACACTAGTTTCCTGAGTATCTCTGTTGCTGCCATGAAAAGCAAATGTATTAGGCCCATGGTTTCTCAACCATATTTAGTAATAGCACCCTTTAAAAGTATTCACAAGGCACCCCAAAAGC